CCTTGGCTCCAGAGACTCATCCCCCCTCTCTGCCCCCTCCTGGCAGGGAGTTGCAGAGGGCCAGGAGGTCTCCCCTCAGCCTCCTCTTCTCCAGACTGAACCCCCCCAGTTCCCCCAGCCGCTCCCCAGCAGACTTGTGCTCCAGACCCTGCCCCAGCTCCGTTGCCTTTCTCTGGCCACTCTCGAGTCATTCAACGGCCTTTTTGGGGTGAGGGGCCCAAAACTGAACCCAGGAATCGAGGTGTGGGAAATATTCTGGAAATAAGCAAAAGCTTGTTCTCCTCTTCACAAATTCAAACATAAACTACTTGAATCTGTGATGATTGCTACTAGAACTGATTCTCAACTGCATCTCTTAACCCAAGCATGGTTTGGAACTGCTTCAGAGCACTTAGCTGGCTCTGTTTCTCCCTAGGACGCTGGTCAGAAGCATTTTGGGACTGTGGTTTGCAAGTCGTGTGGCATGATCTACACGGCAGCTAGCCCGGAGGACGAAGCCCAGCACATCCAGCACCACGAGAGTTTCCTTGAGGCGCTCAGATACTTGGTGAGGCCACAGCTGGGCTGGAGGAGTCGGGGTTGGGGGGATGCAGTGTGTGAAGGTACGGGGCCGAGACAGCTGCAGGCAAACGTTTTGTCATCCAGAGCGGAGGTTAAAATGTCACTTAGGCGGTTTCAGCAAACTGCCTTCGTCTGTTTGATGAATGTGGCTTGGTTCCTGAAAGCTGAAGTGGTTCAGGTTACAGCTTCACCCGCCAGAGTCTCTGCTGAATCACTTCCCCTCCCCTGCTAGGCCACTAACTTGTTTGTTTGGGTTTTTTTTTTTTGCCCCCCCCCCCGCACCCGGCAGGGCTGGAAGAAAGAACGGATTGTGGCAGAGTTCTGGGATGGGAAAATCGTATTGATTCTTCCAGACGACCCAAAATATGCTGTCAAGAAGGTACAAGCTTGTTTATTTTGGGGTTATATTGTAGATTCGCTTTCTGCTGGCTCAGCTCCCAGAACTACCTCAGCCTGTGGTCATACAGTGCTCACCGGGGTGCGCGGTGGGCAGGAGAGCCGAGGGGGGTTGTGGCAGCAATCCAGGTCTCTGTGGACACCCCCCTGACACATCCTAACCCTGCTCCCTGCGCTGAAGCTCCTGTTCTTACCACAACCACCATAACCTGATCCTTTCCCTCCCAAGGACCGGGGCAAGAGGCAGGTGCTCTCTGTGAGAGGTGCAGAGGGATGGAGACATGCGTGAGAGCCTGTTCTTTACACAGTTAGAGCCAGACTGTGTGCAAGCATGGGCTTATTTGGGGGTACAAGTCTTCTTTCTGACAGGTTTCGTGACAGAGTCAAAAACACGTGTTAGTACCTAACGTGCCTCTCTGGATTTGTTTTCTTAGGCAGAAGATGTCCGAGAAATTGTAGATAATGAATTGGGATTTAAGCAAGTTTCTCTGAGCTGCCCAGCCAAGTCTAAAATATACTTGTTTGTGTCCAACGAGAAGATGATTGTTGGGTGCTTAGTGGCGGAATCAATCAAGCAGGTACATGTAATTAATTGTGTGGGGAGGGGGTGAAATTGCTGGCTAATAACTGGGGCTGTTTGCTTCAGCTCGTGTATTGGAAATCCCAGGTAGCCCAGGAAGGGGGGGAAATAAAACTTAAGGAAATAAAAACCAAGCGAGAAACACAACAAAAAGAAGAAATTAAAGAAAAGCTTGTGCTTTTGTCAGGGTGAGGTGCTGCTGGTGGGAGTTGGCTGAGTTTACGTGGCTGATAGGCAGCCAGCTCCTGTCTGACCCGTTTGGGTGCTGGTTTATCTGCCAGCCTGGAAGAGCAAATCTGGGAGCGTAAGAAGCTCTGTGGCTCCGTGTCCCGTCGGGAAGGACCAGTTCGATGTCTCTGCTCCTCCCCACAGGCTTTCCGGGTGCTGTCTGAGCCGGGAGCCACTGGCCAGGACCTCCTCCAGCACCAGCGGGCCTGGTGCTGCTCCACGGAGCCCGAACGCGCCGTCTGCGGCATCAGCAGGATCTGGGTGTTCTGCCCGAGGCGCAGGAAGGGCATCGCCCGTCGCTTGATGGACGTGGTCAGGTAGGGAGAAGGCGAGAGGGCAGCGGGGAGCTGGAAGGGGAGCACAGATCCTTCTAGGGAAGGGAAAACACTGACTGCAGCAAAAAGTCTTGAGAAGGAACTTACAGAAAGGCATAAATTTGTATCGTTGAGCAAGTCTGAAATCCCCGCTTGGCAGTGGAAGGCTATAGAGTGGACAGATATTCTGTGTATATCTAATATTTAAGTAATATTTATATTTAAAATCTGACACAAGTGTGAGCCAAGCGAAGTGCTGGGTATAGCTGGAACGCGGCGCTACACGCGCTGGATTTTCCAAGAAAAACTGTGCTTCTTGGGGGAAAAATTTATTATTATTTTTTTTTATTAACTGGACAAGCTGATGGGCCCAAACACTTCTGAGTTTTTTCCAGGCAGGAATTTCTGAGCTTTTCAAGCTTGGAACAGTCTAAAAGACTTAACTTCCCTTCATCTATTGCTGTGGGCTGCCTTAAGGGGGAGCCTGGTAGCCCACAAGCCTGTTGTAGCACCTCTCCTGTGGCACATCTGCCTGCTGGATATGTATCAGATATACAGAAATATAAAGTGTGAGTACCTCTGTGTGTATTTTTATATATTTAATCATACATGATTGTTTCTGGAGCTCAATATTCTGAGAATTTGTCAGCCAGTGTTTGGTTTGTTGTTAGCATTTGCTGTGCCACCTTCCAAACCCGCTGGCCCTGGGTGAACCATGGGTGCCCACCAGAGTCCTGGCACTGCTGTGGTGGATTTCACTGGGGAACTGATCCACAATATTTAACCAAAACATCTGTTTTTTGTGCAAAACTGTAGTCGAGGGTTTTCTGCCTGTATTTTATCTTAACCTTATCCTTTTTGCAAACTTTAAAATGGTTCCTGGTTACACCAGAATCCAAGAGGGCAAACTGGTGTCTTGCAAACCATCTTCTCTGGTTTGAAAGCAAAGTGAGAGAGGAAATAACAGCTCTGGGCAGGGAGGGGGGAACACCCCTGGGGTGTGTTTTGGGAGCTGGAGCTCTTTGCAGCACCCCAATCGCTCCGCTCTCTCTTCCAGGAGCACCTTCAGCTACGGCTGCTACCTCAGCACCGACGACATCGCCTTCTCTGACCCGACGCCCCATGGCAAGTTGTTTGCGACGAAATACTGCCAGACCCCGAACTTCCTTGTTTACAATTTCATTTCTAACAACTAATTCGACTTGATTAGGACAAGTTGAGGTTTGCTGAAAGCGTCAAGAGATAATTTGTGTGTTCAAAATAACGCTGTTTTCCTGCTGAGTGCTAGTTCTTCCTCCCCCAAGCGAGCTGGGGGAGCGCGTGTCACTTTGTGTACAGTTATGTTCTATTTTAGCATATGCTGTGGAACCCTGCTTGGATTTCAGGTAGGTTTGTTTCTTCTGAAACTTAAATTTTATTGCAAGTAATTTAATTCTGTTGAAAGGTTGAATTAATATAAAAATGACTGTTTTCTCCCCGATCTGTGATCGCGTAGTTCCGAGCTCTCCGCAGTGCGTGTGCTGTGAAAGGCAGGGTGGCAGCCTTACTACAGTTACTAAATTTATGCACTGAGGAGTAAGAGATGCCTTAAAACAACTGACTCGTGGCAGGATTTCCTGCAGTGTGTCAGTCCTGGTGTGCTGCAGGGGAAGCTGTCATGGGGGGGGCTGCCTGCTCGATAATAAAATGTGTGAAATGCTGCTGTTCGAGGTTGTTTCTGTGAACGGGAGAGATGTGGGAACGCTCCCAGTTCTCTCCTCATTTGAGGAGTTAGAGGAGAAGGCAGGGGAAGCTGAGGGCTGCCTCAGGGAGCAGGACAAATATGTGTCACAACCTTTTGTCTGCAGCTAGCTGTGGGCAGGAATTTCCCCAACCAACAGGGCTTTTGTTAATAAATCCCCAAGAGATTTTTTTTTTCTTGACCCTACACCCTTTTTTTACCACAGTATGACTCTGTGTAACAAGTTGTTGTGTCAGGAAACCTCTTCTTTAGGCGTGGGGCCTGTCTCCCTTGGTAACATTCTCCTCTGCTGCTCTCACCCACCCCAGGAGCACAAATACTTCATACAAGTATTTACCTGCACATACCTGGGAGGGACACACACTCCTTAAGAAAAGCACCTCTTAAAATTTATTTTTAACATCTCAATAACAGTTTTGTGACTAACTCAACACGAAGAGCGGCAAGGGTTTTAAAACAGTTGTAACAGAACAACTAAAAGCTAAAATATTGAACATAACTTTAGGCCCTAAGTGGGGGTGGGAGGGGATTGCTCTAGGAGCAGAATAAGCTGCAGTCAGCTAAAGCCTGTCCTTAAAGCAGGGGTTAGTGTTTAACGAGTTTAAGCTTCAGTTTTAAGTAGACAGAGTGTGTTTTGCATACTAGAAGGATGAATGCCACAGAGTAAGGCTACTCCTAAGTCAGATGCTTTTACTCCTGGGGCAGACTTGCCTCCAGGGTTTCCACGATGGCGGCGGCTGAGGGCCGTGTCGTGGGGTCCTCACTCGTGCAGACAGAAAAAAGGTCGATCATGTGCTGGTAGGACTGATCCAGTTCATCCATGTTGAGGGCTGGGCGGGTTCCCAGGGCTGCGTAGTATGCTTCCTCATCAAAGCAGTCTTCGTCAAAAGATTCATCTAGAAAAGAAGGTGGCAAAGGGGGTAGAAAGGGTCCCTTGGGGCAGGGGGCTTTGCTCCCTGGCTGCCCCTCATCTGTCACAGAGTGGTTTGGGTGGGAAGGGACCTTAAATCCCCTCCAGTGCCACCCCCTGCCCTGGGCAGGGCCACCTTCCCCCAGCCCAGGTTGCCCAAAGCCCCGTCCAACCTGGCCTTGAGCCCTTCCAGGGAGGGGGCAGCCACAGCTTCTCTGGGCAGCCTGTGTCAGGGCCTCACCCCCCTCACAGGGAACAATTTCTGCCTCAGATCTCATCTAAATCTCTCCCAGCTTAAAACCATTCTCCCTTGTCATCAGGGTGGAGGGATAGGACAAGTCCCTCCCCCCTTTCCTGCAGCCCCTTTCAGCCCTGGGGGCCACTCTAAGGTCTCCCCAGAGCCTTCTCTCCTCCAGCTGAACCCCCCAACTCTCCCAGCCTGTCCTCACAGTGGGGCTCCAGCCCCCCAGCATCTCCGTGTCCTTCTGCTGTTGGTGCCCCCGAGCTGGACCCAGCCCTGCAGGGGGGTCTCCCAGAGCAGAGCAGAGGGGGAGAATCCCCCCCTGGCCCTGCTGCCCACTCTGCTCTGGGTGCAGTCCAGCACATGTTGCTGGCTCACAGTCAGTTGCCTTGCAGGGGTATGGTGGGATCTGACCTTCGTGTTAGCTTTGCTATTCTTTGTTAGCAGTAATTACTGCCTGACATACATCATTACTTCCCCTTTGCCTTAAATTGCTTGTTTTGAAGCTGTATCTACCCCAGTAGAATAACTCTGAGTCACCCCTGCAGAGCTGGCTGGGAAAAAGCTCTGCTGCCAGGAGGTGCTGAGAGCAGGAGAGTGAGGAAAAATCCCCCAGCTGCCTGGAGACCGAGTGAGAAAACACAAGCCAGCCTGTGGGTCTGTGCCAGCTCAAAGGCTGGAACAAGAGTTTCCCTAGCACAGCCTGTAGGCTTTTTAGCCTTATATCGCTCCAGGGCTCAGATCTGCCTGCAGGCAGCTGTAGGATCCCCTGCCCATCCTGTCTGAGTAACTGAACAAGGGGTGGCCAGGAAGGCCAGTGGAACCCTGGCTTGTATCAGCCATAGTGTGGCCAGCAGAGACAGGGAAGGGACTGTCCCCCTGTACTCAGCACCAGTGAGGCTAAATATATTGGGTTCAGTTTTGGGCCCCTCACTACAGGAAAGGCAAATGTGATGCTGGAGCGTGTTCAAAGCAGCAGCTGGTGCAGGGTCTGGAGCACAGGTCTGCTGGGAGCGGCTGTGGGAACTGGGGGGGTTCAGTCTGGAGAAGAGGAGGCTGAGGGGAGACCTCCTGGCCCTCTGCAACTCCCTGCCAGGAGGGGGCAGAGAGGGGGGATGAGTCTCTGGAGCCAAGGAGCCAGCGCCAGGCCCCGAGGGAATGGCCTCAAGCTGCCCAGGGCAGGTCCGACTCGCTCTGAGGAAAAATTTCTTCCCTGAAAGTGTTGTCAAGTGTTGGAACAGGCTGCCCAGGGCAGGGGGAGAGTCCCCATCCCCGGAGGGGTTGAGCAGACGTGCAGACGTGGTGCTCAGGGACAGGGTTTAGTGGTGACCTTGGCAGCGTTGGGTTAACAGTTGGACTCGACGATCTTAAAGGTCTTTTCCAACCAAAACGATTCTGTGATTCTATGACAAATCCCCACTTGGGCACACAGGAGGTGCCCAAAGCAACTCAAACAAAACTGCTTCCCTGGTGGCAGCAGGTGCTTGGCAGCTCGGGTGCAGCCCCACGTACCCTTGGCCTGGGCCCATTGCTTCCTTAAGCTTCTCCTCAGCTGCCTCAAAATATTTTTGTGCACCGTTTCAAGCACGATGTCACTTTTAGACTTTTCTGGCAATATCATTTCAGTGGTATCTCAACAGCACTCCCCACAAAGCTACAGCTTGGCGGGTTGCTCCTATGCTGCTGTGAGGTGACAGACCTTTGGATGATATCCAAGGGAGACCTGGGATTTTGGGGGTACTACATACACTGGAAAAAAAAAAATCAGTTTTACTAAGAGGAAAGAAAGCATTTCTAGGAACAGAAGTCGCTCACCAGCGAGGGATAGAAACCAACCTTCGTTATCGGAGTTATCACCCAGGTTGAAGTGTGGCACGGAGAGGGTCATCATTTCCCAGAGAGTCAGCCCAAAAGGGAAGATGTCGGCCTTGTCGGTGATGATGCCATCATCCTCCAGAGCCTCCTTGGGCTTCCAGGGCTCGGTGCCGATGTAGCACGCCTCTGGGTTGCTCACTGGAAGGAAACAACACGGCTCAGGGACTTGTCATGGCTCACCCTGCAGCAGGGATTTAGCCTGGTGGTTACCTCAGGGCTGCTAAAACCACAAGGCGGGATCTTCTGGGGGCCTAAACCTATTTTTCTTGCACATCCAGGTAGTCTCAAATCCCCTGTGACCCAGCAGGGCTCATGTTTCTCCTCTGCTGGCCCGGCAACGTGCATTAGGGACCGCGGAGAAACCTCTGCGAGGAGATTTCAGAGTGGAGTGTCTAAGGCCACGCAGTGAGAACCCGAGGCCAGAGCGATGCTCTGTATCTGAACCCTGTTTTGAGACCCCTTGCAGTGAAGAAGTGAGAAATCACCTGTGTTTTACCCAGGTTTCTCCCTTCGCCAGCTTAGCCCCTGACCCCAGGGAAGCAGGATGGGGGTGACAGCACTCAGGGCACACCCTTTTTTGCTGGACAAAGCCAACCCAACCTCACGAGGCCCCATCAGCCTCTACCACATGCTGCCTCCTGCCAGCCACACAATCCTGCTCTTTTCTTTCCTCCAGCCCCAACCAAGTTCTCACCACTTTGTTCAATTTAACGCCTCCTTGATGTTAATTAGCCCTGGGAGAGCTGAAGCCGTTGACGAAGCACCGGCCCTGACTCGATCCCTTACATCCCTCTCTCAATTACAGGCCCGGCTCCCAAGAGGAGGGGGGCCATGTTTCCCCCCTGCTCTCCCGAGCTGTCAGCAAATCTCAGCTGGTCAAGAAACTTTCCTCTTGCAGGGCTGATCTTCAAAGCCCGGCCTGTAACAAGAAGCCAATGCCAAAATCCCTCGACACTTCAGACCGTTGCGTTTTCATCCTTGGCTGCCACACGGACAGGGACTCAGCACCCTCCCCATGGCTGAGTGCCCCTTGTCTCCTCAAGATGATGAGGCAAAGCCAAAACTCAGGGCTGGGCTGGGAGAGGACTTCTTCCTGTTCAGCCAGCCCAGAAACTGATACTTTAACCACACTCCTCTCAGGAAGATTACGCTGGGGCGCTGCCTCCAGCTCTCTCGCTCCTTATAAAAGGGAACAGCTACTAATAAAAATGTAATAGAGCAGCTTTATAAATTATGAGGCTGTCGCAGGCCCAAGCGCTGTGTAAAGCAGCAGAGAAAAGCATTCTTGTAATTAACCCAAACACATTCCTGCTGTTCACAGCCAAGCCACGACGCCATTAGACATCTGCTTCTCATTGACGTGAAGTCTTTAGAACGCTCGCAGTTGGCTCGCGCTTCCCTTTTAGTCCTGCGAGAAAGAGTCATTTATTTAACTCTCTGGCAAGAGCATCTCCTCGACAGGGCCTGATCCAGCACCCCCTGTGCAACGGCATTCCTGCCCGCCGGAGCATGAAAGGACACCGGAGACATGTCACGGGTCTAGAGGATTAAAGCTGGAGATCCCCTTCACCCACACAGGGTGCAAACCACGGGCCAGTCCTTCCCTCCAAGGTCACTCTGCTCCCAGAGCCAAATTCTGGAAGCCACGGGGCATCCAGATCCCTTTTCCTGGCCACCGAACCTACCGGTCATGTTCTCATCCAGGGGCAGGGACACTCCCACATCACAGATCTTGATGGCTTCAAAGTCACCTTTAATGACCACGTTTGAAGACTTGATATCTCCATGGAGCAGCTTCTTATCGTTGTGAAGATACTGAGAGGCAGAGAGCAGCTGTTACCACCCGCTTCCAGGGAGAGGCAGGAGCAGCCATCGGATCTGAACAAAGCACCAACTTCTAAACCTTTAACATATTCAGCCTTAAAAACCTCAAGGACGGGTCAAGACCTCCCTGTAACCCATAGAAAACACAGGGCAGGTTGTTCCACCCAGATTAGTTTGGGGGGCTTATACAGTTTAGTTTAGATGCAGCCCCAGAGTCTCTGTTTCCCCTCCTTTTTCCCTAAACACAGTCTCAGGAGGTTCACAAGCAGCACTGGGTAGCGGCCACAGGCATCAGTTAACCATTCTCCCTGCCCAGACCAGCTGCCTGGCAGAGCAGAAAGGAGCCAGCAGCCAGCCTCCTCACTGGCCAGCAAGCAGGGCTAGGAGGTAACCCCAAAGGAGGGCAGCAGGATGTTTGGGTGGCTGGAGCTGTCTGGGGGAGAAGGGTCTGGGGGTTCTCACTGACCAGCAGCTGGACAGGAGCCAGCAGTGTGCCCGGGTGGGCAAGAAAGCCAACGGCCTCCTGGCTTGGATTGGAACTAGTGTGAGCAGCGGGAGCAGGGAGGTGACAGTCCCCTGTGCTCGGCACTGGTGAGGCCACACCTGGAGGGTTGTGTCCAGGTCTGGGCACCTCAATCCCAGAGAGATCTGGAGGGGCTGGAGCGAGGGCAGAGGAGGGCAGCGAGGCTGGGGAAGGGCTGGAGAATCAATCCTGTGAGGAGCCAGGGAAGGAGCTGGGA